CAGCAGTAACTTCCAAAGGGGCATTAGATAAATATTTATAAAAGGAAGACTTACAGGGCTGTGTGGCAAGGGCATGGGTGTGTCTAATAGGCTGGCTATTTCAAAGAGCTGGTACAGGGATAATGGGCTGGTTCATAGTGAACTTTGTTGTTTAATTTGATGATTGTCAACTCATAAAGATGAACCTTCACAATAAGAAAGACTTGCATTTATATAGCTCATTTCATTGCCTCAGAGTGCCCCAAAGCAATGTACATTTAATGAATGTCAACAGTTTGTATCCTTCGTGTGCAGAACATGGAATTCATATATTTCCACACTGAGATTGCTTGCTTTGCCCAAGTTGTCAGCAGAGAAGCTACAAGTTGGTAAGTACTACACATTGAGGGACTTGGAAATGGATATTGCTGTGAAATTCAGTGGGTATCCCTTCTATAATAATAACTTCAGTTACCTCTGATTTTGAAAATTAATGTCAATGTTAGGCTCTTGCTAGTGTGTCAGGGTTTTAGCCTTGGACCTCCAATATACAACTTACACCCCCATTCCTAAAGCTATGATCCCATCCCATAACTGACATTCATCTGTAGCATCAAAGGCTAGTCATTTAAAACAAGCCGAAGTGGAATGTTAAAGATTCCAATTCAAAGAAATCAACAAGAATACTGCTAGCTATCGGAAAAGGTGGAACAATTTGGGGCTTTTATGATTCAGTTTCCTCCCACAGTCCAAAGATGTGCAGGTTAGGTGGATCGGCCATGCTAAATTGCCCACAGCATCCAGGGATATACAGGGGAAATAGCCATAGGATATGCAAGGTTACAGGAATGGGGTGGGTCTGGGTGGGATGCTCTTTGGGGGTTGGGTGTGGATTTGATGGGCTGAATGGCCTGCTTCCACACTGAACAGATTCTATGATTCTATGACTTTATGAATATGGAAGATTATCAGAGTGATCTGATGGAGAATTTCAAATTGTACAAGGTACATAAAGACCTATAATACAAAGAGGACATTGATCTTCATTAGAGAGAGACAACTAATTGTATACAGCTTGAGGATAACAACTCCACAAGCATGGGGTGAGGTGAGGAGGCAAGTTTCCATAAAGGCTCAAAGCCTACTTGGTGACTGAACCTGTACTGTTGACTTTACTCTCCATTCTAATCGTCTAGCTAAGTGACCCTTATGTAAGGGGCAAATATGGAGAGATGTTTCCACCTGCACGAGAACCTAAAACTAAGGGTCATCAACACAATGCAGTTATTAATTCCAGGGAAATAAAGGAGCGTGTGCTTGGAATGTAGAACCCACTTCCACAAGATGTAATTGAGGCATGTAGCTCAACATTTTTCAAAAAAAATCAGAAGAGTACCTGAGCGAAGAGGGGATAGAAAGTAATGTGGAAAGATTGTTTATATCTCAGTTAGAAACAATCCTGCTTCACGGTTAGAATACTGTGGATCCAAGTTCCACTCCAAGTCCTATACTTCAGTACAGTACTGAGGAAGTGTTGCAGTACTGGCTGTTGTTTGGCTGTGATGTTAAACAGAGACACCTATCTGCCTTCTCAGGTAAATGCACCAGATCCCATGACACTGTTTCAAAGAGAGTTTTAACTGGCTCATATTTATCTCAACGAATGCCACAGAAGCAGATTATCTGCTTGTTATCATGTAGCTGCTTGCTACACATAAATTGGTTACTGCCACTTCCTACATTAAAGCAGTGGTGCACTTCAGAAATAGTTCACTGGTTGTGAGGTGTTTTGGGCCCTTATATGGTTGTGCAATGTGCCATATAAATGCAAGCTTTCATTCTGGTTGAATAGGAGAAGCCTGCTGTGACCAGCACATAGAAACTAGGAGCAGGAGTGGGGTTGAAAGACCTGCTCAAGCCTGCTCCACCATTCAATATGATCACAGCTGATCCTCTATCTCAATGCCATATCATCACTTCCACCCCAGACACCTTAATATCTTCAAAATCTAGAAATGTATTTATTTATTGAATATATTCAGTAAAATGATCTCTACAGCCTTCAGTGGTAGAGAATTCCACAGATTCACTATCCTTAAAGTGTAGAAACTTTTCTGAATTTCAGTCCTAAATGGTCTACCCCATATCTTGAGACCGTGTCCCCTGGTTTGAGACTCCTCAAAGAGGGAAAATATTCTCCTTGCATCTAGTCTGTCCAGCCTTGTGGAAATTTTATACATTTCAATCAGATCTCCTCCTATGCTTCTAAACTCCACTGAATACAATTGACCCAATCTCTCTTTATAGGACAGTCCTGCCATCCCCTGTATCAGTCTGGTGAACCTCTGCTCCATTCTCTCTCTGACAAGTATATCCTTTGTCAGGCCAAATGGACTGTTTATCTACTTATATTCTATGTAACTCACTGTAATTATGCAGGAATTAATTGAAATCTGAATGGCAAAAAAAGAAGTCCCCAAATAACTCTGGACAGATCTTAGATCTTACCTTCTACAAGCTAAAGAGATGCCAGAATTGACTAATCGCTAACTTTAGGCACAGAAAGCAAATTGTTAGGCTCCAGTAACTTTGAGGGGTGTTTGAGGGGTGTTTAAGGAGCATGTTTCCTTTGATATGTGGCAGTCACTGGTTTTTAAGCAACAATCTCCATGGCCATATCCCAATCTTTCCCGGAAATGTGGCCAGTAAGGAGTATTTTCCTTCCAGCTGCCTCCCTAAGGAGATGGGGACTGGGACTGGATGCAGCATTAATTGCCAATCACGGATGTGAACCATGTACTGTGTCTTTGGGTGGCTGTATGCAACTTGTCATGATCCAAATACAATACACTGTGCTGAGCAGAACTTCAATTCTGATAAAAAGAGATTGAAATGAGTATTATAATACACCAGACATGCTGATGTCTTAGAATACAATGCCACTTCACAATGTTGATTTTTTTTTAAAGATCCTCCCTGATTGCTTAGAATCTTCTTTCTGATATTTTTTGACTGTGGAGGAGTTTCTTTCAACAAGCTTTACCCATTCGAAACCTCTCAATTCCTCGCATCACCACTTTGCCATCTTTAACCTTGGATTCTACTGCGTAGAATTTGTAGCCAAACCACTTATCAAGGCTGCCAAACCCCTTTGGGATGGTCTGGCTAGATTCAAGGAGCTATAGAAATGGAACTTGTTATTTGCACCTGATCAATTTGAGCAAGTGTAGTCACACACATACCAACAGGTTCAAGAACAGCTTCTTCCCTGCTGTTATTAGACTTCTGAATGGATGTCTCTAACATCAAATCTAACGTGGATCTTGCATCTGTGCACCTCTTGAGAAGCTGTTATGTCTCCCTCTGTCTAAGCACCCTATGATCTATTTGTCCTTGTATGTTATGATCTGCCTGTACTGCACGCAAAACAAAACTTTTTACTGTACTTAGGTACATGTGGCAACACTAAATCAAATCAAATCAAATGTAGCCTGCCTATTTATAGAAACTTGGATGTCTGTGTCCATATGCTCGATCTTCAAGGGGGCAAGACTTGGAAAAATGGCAATAGTTTTGACCCAGTCTGGTGGATGAACAGACAAACTGCGGCTGCTTACAGTAGAATGTCCCACACTCCGCTTAGGCATTCCCCTCCCTGGCATTTTAAACAGAACCAGTTTATCCCTAGCCCGTACCTGCGAACGAATAGAACCAGATAGAGCAACAAGGTTTATGTCTGATGATTTGTGAGCGAGCACAGCGCCAGCGAAAGAAACGGGTCCCCGCGATCTCATTACATTTCCCTTCAAATTAAGAGAATGGAATTGGAATGGTGTCTCCGAAATGCAATCAGTGAGGCTGCAGATCACTGCACTTGTGAATTTAAAAGGTAATTTCAGTTAAGATGCCTAAAGCTGGGAAAAAGATTTCTCATTTCATACACCCGTGTCACAACTTTCTTTTTTTCTTTGCATATACCGAAGTTGCCTATTTCTTACAGCCTTTAATTAACTACTTTGCGTTAGTTTTCGTATTGTTTAATTTTGTTTTTTTTTAATGTTGGATTAATTTATGTGAAATTGCTGGTGACTGCCATTTCATCAACAACATTCTTAATGGAAATCTGATGACCCAGAACAGTTAGGGCCTTAGACACTCGCTTCGGGGGAATGCGTTACAAATGTTAATATCAGTGATCGATCAAAAGATTTGCAAAAAGGCATACACAGTATTTCATTTTAATTACGCTGGGGACATGATTGTGCTGGAGATGCGTTCACGGGGTGCTCCACATGTTGAAATAAGGTCAGCTGTCGTTTCGACTTTGAGAGTCGCTCTTGTATTAAATGCTTGTCATGTTAAACGTCTCAAACATTAGGCAAGTAAAGGTTACATTGCAAAACAAATACCCACACGCAAAAAAACATAGCACTCACACCAACCACAAACGAGTGCCCAGATGGAAAAGGCACGGAAATTGGATGTGATTTGAAATTATAAAACGGGATTGCCTCGCCAAAAAACAAAAAGAGGTAATATTATATCAGTCAATGCTGGGATGATTCGGCCGGACTGGACTTTGGTCTCTAACTTGCTATTTGTTTGATGTGCTGTGAAGGGTTATAATGATCAGTGACAAGCATATGACCTTTAGCTAACTTTGGCTAGAATGATACTCTCACGTTGTCGGTATTACCCGTGAACCGTGGGAAAGGCAAATATCAGTTATCCCAATGTGGCGAGAGTTTCTGAACTTCAAAAAAAACTGCAACCGCGTTACCAGTCAGTCCCGCCTTCATCGATAGCATTTTATTGCCTTAATACACAGGTCATTCTCATCACAATGTGGGATATCATAAATGTGAAGGAATAATGACCCTCACCGCGCACCCTCCCCATCTCAACATTCTCAAGTCAATGAAACAAAATGATTCACGCACTCCACTTACCATTTCGCTGTTTAACCGTGCTTTTTTTTGGGGGGGCGGTTTAAGGAAAGTGTAATGTGCAAAGTGGCTTTTATTTATTTAGCATGCTTTTTGAACCCTCCCTGGGGGCTTAATGATTGGAATGGTAGGGCTGGCTGGAGTTCGGACTTGGGGTTTAAAATACCTGGCCGAGGAACTGACACACACACACCCACACATACATAATGTTTCACATTACAACTGGACGTTGGATACGGAAGAGGCAAGGGGTCCCGTACAATAACGGCCTGATCCCTCCTCAGTCTTGGACGCCAAGGGCTAGCTCTTCGCTCAGGGAGCGACTTTTCCTTCCCTAGAGCGACAGGAGTTCACTTTGTCCAGAAGTGCAGATTGACTTCTTGTTGGTGGTCTTCTAGCAGCAGCAGTCTGTTACTTTGCTGGGTTCGAAGCGCAGGGAAACGGTCCGGGGTAGACAGAATGTAGTCGATGCTGAATTTGATCTCAGACTCGGTTTTGTGGGGAAGTTGGGGTATGTCCTGTTGGAGTAATTTCCCCGCTGGCCCTTGCCCGGGAGACTGCAGCTCTCCCCCACTGTCACACTGATATCTCGGCAAGCGTTTGCCTGGCGCCGCCTTCCTCCTTCTCCTCCGCCGCCGGTAATTGCCGTTCTCAAAAAGATCCAGCATCGATTCGCAACCTGAAGCAAAGGTCCAAAAATTCCCTTTGCCTTTTTCGTTTCCTTCCGACCTTGGCACCTGGGTTTGGGGGTTGAAATACAGGGAAGAAACTTTTATCAGACCAGCAGAGTTAGCACCGTTCCGTTTGTACAGTCACCTTTATTTCATTTAATCTGCGCGAATGCAAACCCTAAACTGTACAAACGCAGGGGGAAAATAATTATTCATTTCCAATCCCAGCATGGAATTTAGCAAGAGCCCCGCAATGCACATTATGTCAAGGGAACGCAGCACTAAGTCAAAGATATTTCTCAAAGACACTCCCTTAATACTCTCTAAAACAAAATCTCTCAATATTGTAACCGAACAGCATTATAAAAAGGGGGAGTAAAAACCAAAACAAAAGTTCTGCTGAGCTTTTCCAGCAATTTCTGTATTTGCTTCTCATTTTTACAGCATCTGCAGTGTTTTTTCGGTTTTTACAATAAAACTTCGGCCGCTCAGCAACATGAAATCAAGTTAGCTGGACTGCCAGGTGTCCCATATTCTAACACCTTCCTCCCCCTAAAATTAACCTCTCCCAATCTGTTTATTTTTTTAAAAAAAGTCCCGAAGTGGGTCGAGCCCGGGCCGTGGAGAATGGGGCCTCAGTGTGGGGAGCACTCACCTTGACAAAGCAGCTGTTCAGGGACAGGTTATGCCGGATTGAGTTTTGCCAGGCTCTCTGGTTCGCTCTGTAGTAGGGGAATGTTGCCATGATAAACTCATAGATGCCGGACAGGGTGAGTCTGTGGCCGGGGCTCTGCTGGATGGCCATAGCAATGAGGGCGATATAACTGAAAAAGGCAAAAACAACATTGGAATGACCGCACTGGTATGTCTGTCACATACAACCACCCCCTCCACCCTCTCTCCAATGGATCTCATTCACTTGATAGTTTACCTGTAGGCAGGTCTACATATCTTCTTCTCCTCGTCAGAACTGCAGGGCGGGTAATCATCTCCATCGTAGTTAAAGCAGTTGTAAGGATATTGGGAATTGTCAAACATTGTCAAACTATGGGAGCTCCTAACAAATCAAGCGAGCGAGCCAGACTCCAGGATAGTGGCAAGGATTCCTTCACAGCAACTGGTTACTTTGCTGGATCAGTAGGGAATGGTCCTGCTCTAATCGCTCCGAGCTCTTCAGACAGAAGTCTGTTGGGAGACTCCCTCCCTATCTACTAGTTAATCTGACTATAAGACTGGTAATAACTGATTAAATTGGTTAATTCTCGCGTGAACCTTTGAACTCGGTTGTGTTCAACCAGTAGCTGGGCTCCGTGTGGGTGGTCTAACTGATATACCATAATATCTCAACAAACACTAAACAACAGCCAACTGCACCCCATATTAGAATGCAACGTAGTAATTTAGCTGCCTTCTTTTCCCTCGTCTCTGACTCTTTGTTTTCTCTGTATGAAAGGCATAGATTCTGCTCGCTTCGCAAATATGTATTTACACCAACAGAAACCATCTCTCTTTCAACAGGCAGTCTAGTACTACTAGTGGGCCCTGATGCAATCTGCAATGCAAGATAATGGACACAAATTGCATTTCCGTGACTAAACCAGGGTCTTGCGTTCAAAGCCGCGGAACAGAGAATTTCAGTGATTTCTGACAAATAGGGCAACTTGAAAGGGAAACAGCCGGAGGGGAACCTTGCTGCTTGTGTGGGCTTTGATCAATATAAGGAATTAAAGTAAACGCCAGCAGATAAGCGGGTAAATACTGCTTCTGCTGTTTGTACAGCGCCCAAGAAAAGGTCTTTTAGTTTGAGCGGCAGAAAGTCTAGCGGGGAAGGAACGCTATTCGGCCCACTGCGTGGCTACTAGCTCATTGTCAGTGTTACTCTTTCCCCATCGCTTGGAGACACATGACTCTTTTGGAAGTATTTATCTTCCTCCCTCTGACAGATCTTGTTCGGGGTAGGTGTAGCGCCCTTTCAGGCACCGTCTTGTTCAGTAGCAACATCTTCCAGCCCCTGGTTGGTTTTAAATATCCGAAGGTCCTTTGAAAGAGTTTTTCGCTCCATAAACCCCACCCACCCCCCCCCACCCAAAAAGGAAACGCTTGGAAGCTGAGACCTAAGTAAGATTCAAACCGCCCCTCCAGACCACTCTGGATCTTCTTGGCTTGCGGCTGGGTTTCAGTCGTATTTTGCTTAATGTCACTCCAGGAGTTTAAACGCTCAGTTACCTAATGAATGGGAGGTCAGTCAGTCTGTATCTATCTCTGTCCTTAAACTGAACAAAACCTCAACTTGTATGCTAAATCTGCCCGACTGTCACCTGCTCTCATCCGTTAGCTAGGATTTACTTAGCGGCACAGTAGAAGGGTCAGAATTTCTGACATTGGGAAGCTGGAATTCTCTGGACGAATTCACTGATATTCTGTCATACACGGGCAAATGTGTACTTTCCACGCTGGATGTGTGGAAATAGAAGTATATTTGTATGCATTACCCAGTGCTTCCAATGAAAATAAAGTAACAACAGCCTAAGGCTTTCCAGTTTTAGGAAGACTCATCAGTTCAGAATGTGATGATGTTTCAATCTAGTTGGAGGGAGTTAGAAATGCGAAAGCTAAGTTTAAGGAGCAAATTACTGTACTGAAAACAACAAAAGCTAAGCTTAGCTTGCTCTCTCTCTCCATGAATGCTGTCTGACCCGCTGTGATCTCCAGCATTTGTTGTTTTCTGAACTAAGTTTAAACTCAAATCAGCAATAAGACCGAACGCGCGCAGCGTTGAAAACACAAGGATCAGATAACTCCCTGAACGAGGAGAGACTGGTGTGGTTTGGTAATGTTCCTGCAGAAGGCTTTATTCAGGAGTTACTCTCTGCACCAAATTGTCTCATTTATCTTCAACTCAAACGGTTTAGGTAAACCACAGATCAAAAACATTTATCACCCTTAACTTAAATCTATGATTAGCGAGGAATTGTCTCTGCAGCCGTGGTAAGGTACAAAACAAAATTGTGATTCCATTCTCTTAAAACGCCCTGAACGCTCCCAGCCAAATGCCTGTCGAGAGCGGCTCGCCGAGTTTACATGAAAGCAATTTCCCTGCTTTAATCTTTAGTTTAGTTTCCTTTCACTAATATCACTGTGGGAGACACAAATTAGCTCAGCAATTAGGAAGACTAAAGTTTTCTTTTGCGAAATATCTCAGTCCTCAGCTGGGCATGAAAGTGCAGTTTAACAGCACGCTGTGTGTGTGTGTGTGTGTGTACCAATCGGTCAGGTTTAGCAGCAATTGTTGGGAACTGTTAACGCTGACACCGATGTGTTTCAGTCGCTGTTCATTGCTAAGAGATACACCATTGTTTGCCAGGTTCATATGGGCCCGTCCTGTTAAGGCTGTCTGGGAGTTTTGGCTTCAATTAAACTGTGGCAATACAAAATCTGTCAGATTTATTTTGTGTGAGTTGCAGTAAGAACAAAAGGAGTCGACTGGATCCCTCAAGCTCATCCCAATGAGACGAAGACCCATGACCTATATGCTCAGTTTAGCCCCATATTCCTTAATATCTTTGATGAACAAAATACCTGTCCATTTCAGATTAAACACCAAACACATTCTCTAGCAGTAATACCATTTGTGGAAGAGAATTCCTAAACTTCTTCCTCTCTAAGTGTAGAAATGTTTCATAACTTCACCCCTGGCTCAAGGTTTTAGGTTATGTTCAGCGGTCTTAGACTCACTCACTAGCAGAAATTATTTCTCTCTATTTACTCTATCATTTCCTTCTTAAGATGGCTTGAAAACTTCAATCAAGTTATTGCTTAAACTGCAAAATTAACAGGGATACAACATTAGTGGAATGTGACTCTTTTTGGAATTCAACCCTTGGAGTGCAAGAAAAATGATTCCTGCTTGTGAGTGAGTCTAGGACCACTGAACATAAGCAAAGAACTCGGACTTTGTGCTCTCTACAATACATTCTCCCTAAGCTATGATGCCCAGATGCTCCTCACAATGTGCCAGGTGTAGTCTAAGCAGGGTTTTGTATCACAGAAGCATGACTTCTAACCCTTGTATTATATCCCTCTAAAGTAAAGCACAACATTTTAATAACCTTTTTGATGGCTTTCAAAACTTATTTGTGCAGTTTTAATGATCTATCAACCTGGATTCCAAATTAAACTTGGACCTCCATTCCACTTTACACCATTTAGAAAGCCTGAAATCCATTTTTCACAGTTGACCTTGTTCACTTAATCTCAAAGTAATTTTATACTTTCAACTGCATCACTCACAATGACACTTATCAATGGCAAACTTGAATGCATGTCCCATCATGTAAATTGTTAATGGATACAGTGAACACTCTGAAGGCTCAACATAGCTTCTTATGGGGTACCGTTAGCCATCTTCTGCCAGTTAGATTGCCTGCCAGTATCCTGATACTGATAATTTCCTTGTGAGGTCAAACATTTTCCCTCAATTCCATGAGCTTTAACTTCAGCTAACAGTCCTTAATAGATTCAGAGAAAGTAGGAACTGCTGGAGAATCTGAGATAACAAGGTATAGAGCTGGATGAACACAGCAGGCCAAGTAGCATCGGAGGAGCAGGAAAGCTGA